TATTACATCGTTTGTATCAGATAGCATTACAAGTGCCTTTGCCTGCATTACAAAATCAAATCAGTTTCTGAAAAGCTTCTGGTAGAGCGAAACATAAATAACAAAACCCACAAATACTATGCTGTGTTAATTTAGATACTGTTTAAATTCAACGATTTGATTCTTCAACTACCAAGTGAAAATACAGAAATTACCCAATGAAGGAAGATAATTTGATTTGTTAGTCAATGTCAAACTTCTGAATTACTGATCCTTTCGTTTGGAAGTCCATAAATTTAGTTGGAAGGTTATCAAGTTCTACAAGATTTTAAACCCACGTTTTGCATGGACAAGTATAACAATGGCAAATATCCTTAATGCAATCATCTCAGTTAAAGCAAATACAAATTTTTTGAGTGCATTTCTTTCACTACAAAAATAGAAATAATAACTCAATACAGCATGTATTTACTCCTGTAAAGAGACATTGATTGGATAAGTCATGGGCCAAGGAAATCTTACTTTTTAATGTAGCCACAATATTGAGAAAAATGCTGACACTGAAGACAGATTTAAATTTACTTGTGGCTAGAATCACAACTCAATAGCAATCTAAATAACTGATAGCATAAGATTTACTCATTATTCAAGCAGACCTTATATGTGTTCACTATTTTTAAAAAGTACAAACATCAAAAAACAATGCAAAGCTATTAATGTGTTTTATCTTAGATAAATTACAAATACAAGAGGTTAAACCAGACAATTTAGAATTTTAAATTTTGCATTACAGAATGAGGATTAATGACAGAAATTTTACAGCATAGACAATAGAAATGTATCTCAAAATTCTTATATGCATACCTGGGATACAACATACGTAAATGGTTTGTGAAATTCATGTAAAGATATTTTATTACAATTTATCTGGAGGTAGTGTAACTTAATCCTAGCCAAAATATCAAGCTTTTCTACAGACCAATAATAAACAGATTCCATTATGAGAAACCATTTCTTAAAGAGAAGGCATCAAAACCTGGCACACATGGAAAAGTAAGGTACATTGCTAAAAGGTGTTATTCTTATAAATGTGCCACTAAGCAAATTTCCAATATTCTTATCAGCACAACATCCTTCACTATACAAAATGGATACATTTCCTGCAAATTAACAGTAAGAAAGCTCACTTAATGTGTGCCTCTTGTGATTACTTAATAGATAACAGTCTGAGATAAAATGAATAGTATGAACAACTGATGCAATTGGATTTTAGAAGATACAGACTGGTGATAGACTGACAAAAATGTCAACATCTAAATAAATTTAACATGATTAATTTCCTCCTATTCTGCATGGCTGTTTAAAAAGTTCACTTTCAATTTAACAAAATATCAACATCCAAAAGGTACTTGTATTTGTCTTAGGTTATGTTTCATCACTTTTTTTGGATTGACCAATCAATTGAATATCACCACAGGAGAGAAAGTGTGGAGGGAAAAAAGGGGGAAAATAAATAATCTGGGACTTTTCATTTAACCATGCTGATCAAATGATCCTGTTGATGCTGTAATGGCAAACATGAAGAACTTTTCAACCCAATCCATAAACCATTCGGCCAAAGTATAATAAACGATAGTGAAAAGGGAAAAAGAGGAAAAATCCAAAACTGGGTGAAAAACAAAATTTTCAAGCCATACAAATATCCCAAGTAACAAAGCTAACAAAAATAATTGTTTGATATCCAGTGTATTCATTTCCTGTAAGAAGTCAATTCACTATAAAATTTGGATAATTTTCAAAATGGTTTTAGTTCGACATGAACACAACCTAATGTAAGACAAGTGTGAGGCTACGCAAATTGAAATCAGGCTAGGGCAGGTAGGTAGTGTCAAATTAATTTCAATTTCCCTTTAAAGCATAAGTTTATAGATTTCAAAGTGGCCCTTTGGGAAATTAACTTTTTTGTTCTTTTAATTAATTGGCTTTTTTTTAAACACTAATTGGAAATCAGAAATTATCAAGGTAGAGCCCTGTATTTCCTGATCAAACTTGTGTAAAACTAGCAGTATAGCTTGAAATAACAAATATGTAGTATTCTAAAAGAAACTGCTAGAAATTTGGTAAGTGTTATGGACATAAACTGGCAAAAAGCATATCAACTTAGCAGTGAGGTTAGTAGTGAGCCTTAATGTGTATATCTGTTGGCCCCACTCCTAAATTTGAGAATCTTATTTACTAGGCAGTGGTTCGCCCTGTACAAAATTCCACAGTGGCCTCCTCAACTGCCAATGCCAAGTTGGTGGATTTTTTTTTTAGAAAAAGAGCTTACAATTGTTCCTACAAAGCAACCCAACCTCCTATATCCCTATAGGATTCCCTAGTCACTGTGACATGTCTCAATTTCTCTGTCAGTGATGTAAGTAGCCCACATCGAATATGCTGATGTGACTTGAGGACTTATTTCCCCTAAGCTACATATTTCTTGATTTAGGCAGGTGCTATTTGCCAGGTCTGGGCCTGTAAGTAACCAATTTCAAACTGTTAAATGCAGGTGAAAGGCACCAAACCGTGGTTTATCAATTTGTTCCCATTGCAATGCAAAGTTGTGAAAAAGGTGATGGTGCAGTGGATTAGTACATAGTCCCTTCACTTCTTAGAAATGATTTGAAAATGATTGGAAAAGTGTTATGTGAGGTTTTGTCGGATAATTTTGAGTAGACATGGGTGATAATGATGTTTTCCCAAGAAACTGAAAAACTCGAACTGGTTCAGTTGCATGTGTATTTATGATATTAGAAATAAGGCACATTGTTGGGAAGAGTACATAGGCTTTAATCTTCATCTGGCTGATGTCATACACTGCTTGAAAATTCAAAGTGGGATTTGTTGTGTCAAAAATAAAAAACTGTCGTTTTTCAGCACCATTATCTCTCACCTGAAAATGAGACCAAAATTTATCATTTATAAAAAAATTGAAAATTGATTATTTCTTTAGAAATTTAATACTAAAATTGAAGAAACTAGCAATTTGTTCACAAGCGCAGAAAAATTCTAGCTGAATTTTCAGGTGGAATTATATCATTTTACAAATTCATTTTTTTTTTCAATAATAAATTAAAATCAACTACCTGCACATTAAATATTGAAAGAGGGATATTCTTGAAGTTTAGTGGTCATAATACAGGTCATCAGTTACCTGCTAGGAGGTGCACTTAAGGTCAAAAATTCATGTGAAATTATAGGAATAACTTCTATCCTGTCATTGCATGATTCATTAGGGTGGATTTTCAATGTTGTTGCACAGATGTAAAACTGGATTTCAACTGTAATGTAAATAAAACTTAGGTTATTTTGATGATATGTAGCTAATCTGCAAAACCAGTTTTATGCCTGCGTAGCAAGCTGAAATCTACTCCACTGTATATGCCTTAATTACGCTGGAATATTTTACAGAAAAAAGGTTTTGTAGTTATGTATCTATTTGGATACAATACAACTAGACCAATGAGTAACAGTGATATTGATGTTTCTCCACGAAGAAGACAAATCAAACATTGCGTAAATCATCAAAAATGCAGCAAATTTAAAACACAGACATGCATCTTAACAGACGGTACTATAAACTAAGGTAAATGACTGAAAAGCCATTAATTTTGCAGTGGAGATAATGAAAGCATTGTTTTTAAACACAGCCTGTACCAACATTAAATTTCCAAAATGTTACAAGGGTACCACTGTAAGTAGAAAATTACAAATATTTCACTTCAAGAATGTTGAATAATTTAACTTTTAGACAGAGCCCAACTGTAAATGATGAGGGAAAAATTTGCCAGAACAATTTTTGAAATTCTTAATTCACTAAACAATCATTTTGGTAATCAAATATAGATCACATGATAAACCAGACTGATTACATCACAAACAATGTAATACTCATAAGATCTCACACAAAATGCATGCCATACTGTTGGTGAAATTAATCAAAAAGGATAAAACTACAACTCCACAGTACACATTGTAATAAAATCATAGAAATGTCAAAATTATTTGAATTTTCTGACTGCAACTCAAATGTTTAGATTATGGTTATGCTTCAAACATTATTTGAAACCTTCACTGAAAATAGCGTTGTTAAACCATTGCCCAGTATCCATAATTATTGAAGTTGGTTTTCCGATTTCCAAAATTTTACAAAGCTCGTTAAAATGAAAGATTAATTCTTCAAAAACATCTTATTTTAACAGTTAACCAGAGTAAGTACTATAAAGAAATAACAAACAACTTGGAGAAAGATGGAAAGCTAATCAGCAGGCCAAAGAAACTCTGCATCTACACAGGGGCTCAGATGTGACAAGGTTACTAAAGATTGCTGATAGAACATAAATATTAATATGCTTAAAAGTTGAGCACGTCACCTATTTTATGAAGCTGGCTAATATATTGATTGAGGAACATGTTGAAGACTTTCACCATACACTTGGGAATTTTTAACTTGAATATAAAATTTTGTGCAATTCTTTCCAGTTGCCACCTGCCCCCATTCCCATCTCCCAGAATAAACCACTCCTGCTAAAGTAGGATCGCAAAGCTTCCAGTTGCTCTCCAATACTTCATTCAAATTGTCATTCCTCAAATTCTTTATGCACAAACTTAAATTGCAGACTATCCAATCGTAGAAAGCACTACCGTCAGCATGATCGCATCATCGCTCGGAAAAGAAACACCTTCCATCAGAACGTGTTGAATAGTATTCAGAAATCTAAACTACTGCTGATTTCCCTATCTCCTCTCCTTCCACCTTCAAAACCTTCACTAGTCCAGAGATACAGGCGAAATGTAGCATGTGAAAAGCCTACTCACAGACAAGGAATGAAACTTGGATCTTCTAGAGATTGCAATAGTTCACTGCTGGCTTCAATCATTTGTGGAGGTGCCGGTGTTGGACTGGGGTGGACAAAATCAGAAGTCACACGACATCAGGTTAAAGTCCAACAGGGTTATTTGAAATCAGAAGCCTTTGGAGCACTGCTTCAGAAGTTTGTGATTTCAAATAAATGTGATGGATTATAACCCAGTGTCGTGTGACTTCTGACTTTAATCGTTTGGACATTGGGAACTCGACAATTCATCTTTACAACACCCACTCCAAGTATGATAGACGGAAAAGAGAAAGACACATACAGACAGCTGCTACAAAAATTATCCTCTTCAAATAAACAAAACTAACCCTATGGTTCATTTCTCTACATTTATTCTTTAATACAACAAGAAATGTTGATATTAAGCTGGAAGTAGAACATTTTGCACTGCAAGATCATGTGAATATATGTAAGGGAAATGGCGTTTTTTTGACAATTCAACCCAACTACCTGGCCATAATGCACTCATGTCAAATGTAAATTTTCAAAAACATATCCTCAAGTGTTGCGGCAGTTGCACTGTCTTATGCCAGTTACATTTCTGCCTCTTTTGCAGAAGTTTTTGTATATCTGTAATACATTGGTAAAATTTTATTCACTTATCATTCATTATGAGTTTATTATAACACAAATCTGTTTCCAGTCAGTATTTTAATATCCTTCTTTTAAAACATTAGCCTGAATAAACAACAGATAACCAATTAAAATACTAATTGGTGTTGCAAGTCTGCACGGAAACATTTGTTCTCACATTGGACATTTCCAAACACAAAGGAGAAATTACTGGGGAGAGACAGCAAGAAGAGCAAATTTCTCAGTTTCAAACAATTTTCAGAAAGTCACATGATTTGGACAAACATTTTCATGATACATACACAGATTGCTGCATATGATCATATCTGCTTTTGGTTGTGTAACTGGTCGTTGTGAAACATTAACTTGCCTGTGTATTCAAGGCCAGATGGCCAACATTTACTTTAACCAAACTTACTTTTATTTAAATTTTGAAGCCCAACCATATTCACCAGAATTATAAAACAGTCCTATAAATTTATGAAATAGTCCTGCATGTTTTGGTATTTTGCCCACACGCTAGTAATGTGTATTAAAATGTGGTGACCATAGCCAGCCTAGTATAGGTATTGCATATAGGACTTTTCCCACTGCATCATGAATGGCAAGCAGGATCCAACATTCTGCTCCACTGATGCTATGACAGGATGATGATGGGGCAATTCATGTTTTAAGTCAATGTAATAGTGGGGCAGGGGGCATCAAGGATCTTCGATTTTTTCTTTTAAAAAAAAGCTCAAAGTCAGGTTTTGAACAACAGAATACATGAAAGCCCTTGAAAGATGTATAACTTTGGTCCTAGAAATAACTGTGGGAGGATTGGATTATGAACAGAAAGGAAAAGATTGAAATTTCTGAACCCAAATCACAATATTTTTGAAACTCAAATTATTTTGAAGCCAACATTATCTTGTGAAATGATGCTGACATCAGATATAAAGTCTAATAGCACAATATTCCATATTAATTCCTGTACATTGGTAAGTATAGCTTGTATATGATTGGTAAAAGCTGCCATTTGTGCTCAGAGATATGTAGCAGTCACCACACATGAAGGGCCACAGTGTAGAAATTGCACAGGGCTTCTGTAGAATATTCAAACAGGGTTTACAAAGCATTGAAAGTGCAGGAATTACCAAAATAAAAACAACTTTTTATTTACCCAACACTTGCATTGCTATGGATGAGCACACCACATATTTATTTCAAATCCAATTCCTCTGCATTAACTTCTAAACAATATTCTTTTCGTCTCCAGCAGAAGTATGGACTACGCCAAAAAAAGTTACCGAGAAGAGTTTTGTTATAACCTTTATACCTTAGGATGCAATCCCATAATAATGTAATAAAATTTATTTGGAAAACTGGCTTTAATTTGAAGTTAATTAAGGCAAGTAGTAATGGTGCATATTAGATCCTCTCACTTCATCTCCATATTGAAACATGTTCCTCTCATACTGTTCAATAAAACTACAGGTAACAAAAAAATTAGTTCTAAATGCCAATTCTCCAAGTTCAAGAGTTAAGTAAAAATGCTAATTTGTTGCAGCAAACATTTCAACTGACTATTCTCAAAATACAATCACATGGAAATAATACTGCATCTATGTGGAGTTCTGTGTAAAACTTGCAGCTTTCACTTTGCATAGAGACCAGATGATGAGCTACTATTAGTAACAGCTTCAATATCTAACTGTTATAGATCTGTATTTACAAATCTGGGGCTGAAAAAGCACAAAATAAATGGATTTCTTAGTGATTGAAGCAAAATTCTTCCAACTTTTACTTTAGTAAACCAAGATTTCTTTCTTATGGATGATAAGCGAACATCAATTTTCATGTTCCACATGTTGACAGAAAACAACAGGCTTCCTTTTCACACTGAAGAGTAAACTGACTTTGCTTAGTGTGAAATGCAAGTTCATCCAAGTTACAGATTGCAGGACTAATTCAATGTTCATCTTAAATACAGACATATTCAATGTTCTCCCTAAATATGGACACGTGTAAAGGTTCTTCTGTATACACACACGTACACACAATACTTGTAAACATGACAAATTGATTCAGGAGAACTTGACAATATTTCTACAAAAAACACACTAACTTTACAAAAAAAATATTTGTTTGCGTCTTTTTACATGTAAAGTCTCTTTCTTAAAAATATACAAGTTGAAGAACCTTACAAAAACAGATACAAGCTTTCCCACCCAGCCAAATCTAGGCTCAATGCATCTTCTCAGAGATGGAAGAGTCTTTTTGTTCTTTCAGCATTGTTTTCCAAATGTCTTCACTAACTTGGTGATCAAATGAGTGCGCTTTGGTCAACTCTGCTGTGCTCCATCAATATTGCATTGTAAATGTAACAGCAAATTATTTTATAAAGTTTCTTGTTCCTCCCTCTGGAGGTTTCCCCCTTTTCTCCACTCTTGTAAAGCTGTACAATAATAGGCTATCAAAAGGAAAACAGTTCTGCTGTTTTGTTCTAGTTTGTAGGAATATCCACAGTTATATAATGGTTCTGGATACATTTCATTTTCTTCGTGCAATATCATTGCACAATTTTAGCTAATGATTCTGGTTTTAGCCAATCTCGAAACTCACTTAGAGTTATATTTACAGCTAGTGCATGCGTAGTGTAGTTTCTATTCCCGTATAAGAACTTTTTTTTTTAAAAAAGCACCTTTGGATAAAAACAGCAGGAAATTAATTTAGCAGGTCAAGATATCCATGAAACATCTTTGCATCTTTCTTTGTACCTGCTATTGGTTTACTCAATGGCACATTGTGATACATGCTAATGCATATTTCCAAATGCTAGTCTGCTGAGTCCATGCGTTCAGATGGAGGGGCGTACTTCAGTCTAAAAGTACCTGAAAGACAATTTAAAACAAATACATACATATTATTGTTGTCTGCTCCAAAACAGCTCAAAATAGTTCAGTAGTTGCATTTGGAAAATACTGTATGATATTAATTTGCCAAGAATAGTACTACATAATACAATGTTTAGGTTACTTACATTTGAACAAAATCAATATTGACTTCTGTACTTAACAAAATTCATATTTTTCAAAAGAAATAAAACTGGGTACTAGGGAGACGGAAAAATAGGGTCTTTATTCTCGACAATATCACAAATACCATAAGAAGTTATCCAATCTTGATTAATTCAGGGAAGTTACAGTTTTTGGCTAATGTAGGACAGCTCCCAGGTTATTCCCACTGCCATAGCAAAATAATAGCCAAGCATTTACAAAACATTTCAGCTGTCTTGAATCAAGACTAGTCTGAAGTTCCTCCAGGATCTGACAGTTTTCACCTCAGGATGTTAAAGAAGTTGAGGAAATTGATCATACTTGCAGTCATGATTTCTCAAAAATCACTCTTTTTCATGAAGTTTTCCCACTTGGATTAAAAAATTATCAATGCACTCCACTACTTCATAAGAGTGAGAGAGATAAATTAGAAATTATAAATCTCTTAATCTAAATGTTAATTGTTGGGAAACTACTAAATGTTGTTGGGTTTTGGATCAGGACCCCAGTGTTGCAGTAAGATGGGGGTTAAGATCTCATTTTATGTGGGAAACAGTGATATTTCCTGGACTGGCCAATTAATGGCCCGAGGGCAGAATTACTGTCCAATTAAAAATGTTGGGTAGGCTCTTGAAGCTGAAGGGCCATTCAAGGCTCTCTAGCTTAATTGACAGAGAGAGGCACCTCCATTTTGAAATGTCCATCCTGCAAAGGACTTGAATTTTAAAAACATCTTCAGCAACCAGGCCACCATTATGAAGGGCCTTTTTCACAGAAAAGCCACACAGCCACTGCTGTGATCGGACAGTTGGAGCTTGGAGAAATAGTCACTTGCCTCAGTCTGCTGCACCAAGAAGCGAATGAGTGTTAGGAACTTAATTAGTATTGCTAAATGAAGCATACTAATTAAATTAATGGGACTAAAAGCCAAAAGTACCCTGCACCTGATAGCTTACATTGTGGATTTTAGAAGAGGTGACTGTCGAGATAATGGGTGCATTAGTTTTGATCTTACAGATTTTTTTTTAAGATTCTACAACAGACCCTTTGAATTAGTAGGTATCAAACGTAACCCTGTTGTTCAAGAAAAGAGAAACAGAAAACACAGAGAATCATAGGCTAGTTCTTCTGACATCACTAATAGATTCTAGTATTTTCCTTAATGCTAAGAACATGGTAATAACACACTTGGAAAAATCACAATATATTAAGACAATCAGCAAAAATTACAACTTACAGCTTTTTACATCATGAAATACGCGAAGACAATTCACAGGAGTGTAATCTAACAAAATTCAGTATCAAGCCATGTAAAGCAGATATCAAGTACATGACCACAGGTTTGATCAAAATATAGGAGTGTCTTAAAGAAAGAGAGGTAGCAAGGCTTAGATATTTAGGGATGTAAGTCCAGAGCCTAAGGCCTTGGCAGCTAAAAATACAATTACAGATGTTCAAGAGATTAGGATCGGAGGAAAACACATCTCAGAAGTGGTTGTCGGGTTGGAGGAGATTATAAAAGTCAAGAGGACAGAGGCCATGGAGAAATTTGAAAGCAAAAATGATGATTTTTCAACTTAAGTTGTTATTTAACTAATAATCAATGTAGGCTTGGGCACACAGGGGTTATGAGTGAAGAAGACTTGGTCAGAATAAGGACACAAGCAGCAGAAGTTCGGATGTCCTCAAGATTTCAGAAGCTAGAAATGAAAATTTCCAGGAAATGGAATAAGTCAGCTTTGGGTTTTTGTGTGATTAATTCATAGTGAGCATGAAAAGAAATCAGGTTTGACAAACCTATGAAGAGTTTTTAAGAGTAAACAGTATGGAACCAGTGGATGCAGTATGTTTGAATTTTCTAGAGGCATTCAACAAGGTATCACACAAGAAGTTTTCACATTAAATTAAATCTAATGAATTCGACATAGTATCTTAGCATATTAAATGGTACGCTATAACTAGTGGAGTGCCCAAAGTTCAATGTTTGGGCCTCAGCTATTTACAATATGTATGATGACTTGAAGGGATACTGTTTAATGTGTGAAGTTGATAATACAAAGGCAGCTGGGAAAGTAAGCAGCAAAGAGGACACAAAGACTACAAAGAGATAGAGACCGATTATGTGATTAGCTTCAAAAGGTACAGGGCCAAATGAAGTATAACTGAAGTGTGAAATTATGCAACTCAGTAAGAAGACTGGAAAAGCTAGAAAACTTAGGTACTTAACAGGATATCTATAAATGAATTACAGAACATGAACATGAACAAGTAGTGCGTAGCAAAAAAAGACAAGTCCAAATTAATTTCCCTTAATTGCAAAGTGGTTGAAGTACAAAGGTAAGGAAAGGGATAATTTTACCAAAAATTGGCTAAGTGTCAATTTCAGAGAGTTTCATGGAGGGTTTCTCATTGTGAGCTTGTGTGAATTATCTCACAAATTTACGCTCATCATTGCATGATAGTGAGAGCATGGTCTATGTCACCATGATCACACTATCATGCAATGACCAATGGCAGAAGTCACTCCTACCAGGACCTTCTGGGATTTCCACCGCTGGCACAATATTTAAAGCCCAGTTGTGCAACAGGTCAATCGCAGCCAGCTGAAGAGACATAGGGGAATTGGTAACATGTCACTGGAAGTACAAGTTCACATTCATAAATATATTGTTATTTTATGTTACCACTTGTGTAATCAACCATCATTATAATGGCAGCTAGAAGGATCAAGCCACACAAGGGAAGGTGATGGCCCAGGGGTACTATGACTGAACTGTTAATTCAGGTAACATTCTGGGGACCTGAGTTCGAATATTGACACGGCAGATGGTGGAATTTGAATTCAATATAAATCTGGAATTAAGAGTCTAATGATGACCACAAATCCATTGTCGATTGTCAGGGAAAACCAATCTGGTTCACTAATGCCCTTTAGGGAAGGAAATTGTTATCCTTATCTGGTCTGGCCTACATGTGACTCCAGACCCACAGCAATGTGGTGACTCTTAACTGCTCTCCAGGCAATTAAGGGATGGGCAACCAATGCTGGCGTAGCCAGTGACACCCTTATCCTGTGACTGAATTAAAAAAAACGAACAGTTGAAAGCATTCCTGTCTAATGAACAATGGGAAAAGTGAAGGAAAAGCAACCAAAAAACTGCATTTGCTTACAGGAAGAAACAGGGACTTTCAAGCAATGTCAAATTTACAGTCAATAAGGTATCACTGTTCCTGGCTCACATAATCAGAACAGAGTGTCAATTACATCTTTTCAGCTTGTTACGCCTTATGTTGCTGATGTATTTGCTGAAGGTGATGTTCCACCTGCACAATGTTCTTATGTTTCTACTTGGAAGTACCTCTACTACTCTGCCGAGTGCTTCAACATTCGTAACATCCCCTCTTTGCTTGCTGCAGTTGTGCAGAGCACAGCATGGCAAGGCTATGCAGTATACTCTGTATGGAATGTACTGCAAGGAACCCTCATATTGATCGATGTATCAGAAACCCATCTTCATAAGCCCTTACAGATCATCACCCTTTTTGTTGATAAAAACAGCATTATGATACAGCCCTCTCAACATAATGCACAATATATAGTGCCTATGGAAATTCAGCTATGTTGACAAAGCCTACTGCCTGGGCTGTGTCATGGGGAAACAAGATGAAGTGGTACGATCTAGCACAAATTGTAGTTGTAACTGCCTTCATATATCTGTGTGTTGAGGATTGAGAGATCTCACACGGGTCTCCAGTGAATCCTTGCAAGGAGCCAGCTGCGTAAAACTTTAGCACAGCTGTGACCTTGATGACCTCTGGAATAGATGGCCACCTACTCCTTCAGGTTACAATACCTGCTCCAGCTGATGGCATAGTTCTTTGACGGTGTCCTGCAACATTCTCAATCTGCAGGTGCAATGCTCCCTGCTCATCTGGAGGAAATGGTAATGAACACAATAGGACATCTGCAATTCCACCTCATCCTGAGGGTACCTCACAACTATGGTGTCTTCACGTGGAGCATGTTCAGCAGCTGATGGAGGTTAGTACTGGTTCTGGGCCTGCTGAAACATTTGTGCCTTTGTTTCATTGCAAACACAGTGAGGATGACGCTTATTATGGCTGAATGCATTGGTTACTGGTCTTAAACACCTGTGTGGGGAATATTAGAATTGTACAGATTCCTACTAAAATGTGAGCAATCAGCAATCAAACTATACACAAATGAAAGCTTTGCACAGTCCTTCACATTTTGGACATGGAAGGCTCCAAATATTTAGGCATGGAAGGGCTATACGTGGACCTTTTTGTCAAAGGGGACCTTATTCCAATGTATTTAGGACAAGCCATTCTCCACAAATACATTAAGAAGTGATAAGTGCTGCAGGATAAGTGAAATCATGCCTCCCTCCTCCCCGATCAAAGCCAGGGTAGCAGTGAATGTTGACAATGCACTCCACAGAAATCCACGAGTTCCAATCTGCTATCATTTTCCATCCTTATATGTTGAATTGCCTTCCTTCACAAGTATTGTCACTTCTGAATTTCAGCATGCTGTCTCCAATCCCACAACTGGCTTCTTCAATTACCCTGTCACAATGGTGGCCCCTGATAATCCTCACCGGTTTTCAGCGAGCAGGCCACAAGGACTAAATGTAGTCCATTCTGCTTACAGCCTTGGAAGGGCAGCCCTGACTGATGAGTGACCAAACCCCTGACTGATATCTGTGCAGCTGCCCAATTAATTTACTGTGAATCCCCAGGCTGGCTGCACATGCAAAGTCATTGAGGTCTACAGCACGGAAAAAGGCTCATCAAGTCTGCGTCAGTCAAAAACAACCACCTAACTATTCTAATCCAATTTTCTGGCAATTTGTCCATAGCTTTGGATACCTTGGGAGTGCAAGCATACATCTAAATACTTCTTAAATAATCTGAGGGTTTTTGCCTCTACCACCCTTTGCAGGCAGCGAGTTCCAGATTCCCACCAGCCTCTGAGTGAAAATCTTTTCCTCACACCCCACCCGAACCTCCTGCCCGTTACCTTAAATCTATGCCCCTAGTTATTGATCCCTCCACTAAGAGGAAAAGTTCCTTCTTATCTACCCTTTTAATGCCCCTCAAAATTTTGTATATGTCAATCATATATCCCCTCAACCTTCTCTGCTCCAAGGAAAACAATCCCAATTCATCCAATCGCACTTCAAACTCCAACCCAGGAAACACTGTGGTAAATCTCCTTTGCACTCTCTCCAGTGCAATCACATCCCTCCTTTCTGATTTGATTTATTATTGTGACAAGTATTTATGTAAAGTGAAAAGTTGTGTTTTGGGTGCAGTACAGGCAGATCATACCATACAAAGACCATAGGGTGATAGAACAGGGCAAGGAATACAATAATATGGCTGTAGAGAAGGTGCATAAAAAGCAGCATCAACATTAGATTCGAAATTTGAGAGGTCCATTCAGAAGTCTAATAACAGCAGGGAAGAAGTTCCAACAGAAGCTCCCTGCTCTTAAACTCTATGTCTCAGCCAATAAAAGCAAGTATCTCATATGCCTTCTTAATAACTTTATCCATCCATCCTGCTACCTTAAGGGACTGGCGATCTTGCACACTAATGTCTCTATTTGAGTCATATATTGAATCATATTTTGTTTTGATGTTCCTATGAAATACCATGGGATATCTCAGTGGGCTTTATTTAAGTCTCATTAAAAGTGCTGTATAAACATAAATAGTTGTTGAAAATAAAACAAAACTCTATATTAATTTTAAACTGCACCAATTTCAAATTAATTAATTCTGCCAACTCAAGAAAGTTTACCAATATACAGTTTGATGTTGGTATAAATTACCTTGCTGATTGGAATCCATAGCTGGCTGCTTGCAATCCTGAGCTCGGTGTCCATTAGCCCCACAGTTGTAGCATGAAATATGCCCATTCTTTTTATGTCCTGGTCCATTTGTGCTTCCTAGCATGTTTTGTGTCTGATATACTGCAGTTGTACCACCCAGGAAATTTTGCATGGGAGGCATGACAAAGTTTGATTGCCCACTTAAGATGGAATCAGGAGTCAAACCAGTATTGTAAGCAGGAGGTGGAACAACTGGATAGGGAAAGGCAGTACCGTTATTGTATTGGGTGCTGATATAACCACTATTACATAATGGATTGAATGGGAAAATTGGAAAAGTTAACACTGAATGCCCTGAAAATGGGCTTTGGAAGTAATTGGCATAGTTAATTGTCACAGGATTTGAACCACAGTTTCCACTGCAGCCACATGAACTGCACACGTTACACCCAGTTTGCTGCTGCTGCTGCTGCATAGGGATATTCATTCCTGAGCCACCACTACCATTATTGCTGTTAATATAACTGTTTTCCGCCACAGAAGAGAGGGTTGGGCTGGAGCTAGGGATAGGACAATTTGGCACACTCACAATGTTTGTGAAGGACACAGAAGAATGACTATTGGCAGGTGCATTGTTATTATTTGCACAGAAAGCGCCAGAGATGGAAGTTACAGGTGAACACTGCATTGTTGAAAAGGCAACTTTGGTGTTGGCTGAATAAGGAACTGTCCTTGCACTTATTACAGCAGGTGAGACACTTTTAACTTGTACAACACTATTATAGGCCGTTTGTCCCACCAGCATAGGTTCCGTAGGAATAGAGGAGGAGACGAGAAGTTTCATTGGAGTGTGAGGAAGGTTATATGCAGGGTTAGATGTTGCAGTAGTGGAAGAACTGCTGTCCACTTTTGGTAATGTTAATGGAGTTGTTTTAGGTGTACTGTCCATGGAAGGAGGTCCAACTTTAGTTCTAATCCCGAAATTTACAACTTTAGATGGAATCCCACTGTTTTCCATAACACTAGTGGATATTTGGGAAGCCTGAAGTGGAGATGTTGGCATTACATCCACAACCATGGCTCCAAGAGAGGAAAACTTTTTCTCTACTTTGATGCTACTGGCAGGCCCTTCATGAAGTTTGCTTCCAAGATCAACAGATGAGCTTGCATGGATTGGAGAAGAAATGCCAGTAATAGGCTTTATATCAAAACTGCCTCTTTCTGATTTCCGTACTGAATTTAGCATTCGGCTGGGGGCGATGTTCGAAGAGATCACTGGCATGAATTGTACAGTGGAAATGGCAGAAGATACATGGCTAGGGTGAGCCAATCCAGTTTCATTTTGCACTGGAGAAACTTGTGCTGTGGGTCTCCATGAGCCAGTATTTAGGTTGCTCAGGTGAGTTGATAACATTGCTGGTTTCTCTTTTATTTGAACATCCAATATATTCTCTGAATCTATAATAAGAGTTACATGAAAATGAAACAACATTAGAAAATGTGCAATATTCATTCACATAAACATTGTATAAATATATATTGTCAATTAGTACCTATGAATGATAGCAGATGTAGCATTTCATAATAATTTGCAGCACAAAATTATTAAAATACTCAACATTTAAACAGTTTTTAAAGTAATGGATTCTTTAATTTGACTTATGATTGTCATATGTACCGAGATACAGTGAAAAGTATTGTTTTGCATGCTAACCAGACAAATCATACCTTACATAAGTACATCAGGTTAATAGAACAGAATGCAGAGTATAGTGTTACAGTTACAGAGAATGTGCAGAGAAAGATCAACTCTAATATACAAGACGTCCATTCAAAAGTCTGATAACAGCTGGGAAGTAGCTGTTCTTGAATCTGTTGGTATGTGTTTTCAAACTTTTGTATCTTCTGCCTGAGGGAAGAGGGTGGAAGAGAGTATAACTGGGTGGGAGGGGTCTTTGATTATGTTAACTACTTTCCTGAGGCAGCAGGAAGTACAGATGGAGTCAATGGATAGAAGGCTGGTTTGCATGATGGACTGGGCTATGTTCACAACTCTCTGAAATTTCTTGCTGTCTTGAACAAAGCAGGTGTCATACTAAGCTGTGATGCATTCAGATAGGATGCTTTCAATGGTATATCTGTAAAAATCGGTAAGAGTCATTATGGACACGCTGAATTTCCTTAGCCTTCTGTTAAAGTAGAGGCACTGTTGTGCTTTCTTGACCATAGCATCAGTGTTGGACCAGGACAGATTGTTGTTGATATTTATTAAGTATTCAAGATGAATGAAATTAGCTGTCAAATATCCCACAGTCCAAAAATGTGCGGGTTAGGTGGATTGGCCACGCTAAATTGCCCCATAGCATCCAGGGATATGCTGGCTAGGTGGATTAGGCATGGGAAATGTGGGGATAGGGTGGGATGTTCTTCAGAGGGTCAGTGCAGACTCAATGGGCCAGGTTAAAGTTTGTTTTAAAGAAAACAGAAAGGGTCAATGAAGGTAATGCTGCTGATGTTGTGTATAGGAACTTTTAAAAAAGACACTCATTACAGAGCCGCACAACAGATTGGTGAGAAAATTTACAGCTCATTAAACAAGAGGGTTAGTAGCAACGTGGACCCGAAATTAAGTGAGTAATATGAAACAGAGACTAATAGTCAATTGATAATTTTTGGGCTGCAGAAGGTTTATAGAGGGGTTCCTCCAGGGGTCACTATTTGGAGCCTTGCTTTTCCTGACATTAATAAATGATATAAATCTCGTTGTGCAGGGAAGAATTTCAAAATTTGTGGATGATTGCAAAACTTGGAAGCAATGAAAACTCTGAGGAAGTTAGTGTACAACTCCACCAATTTATCAATGTTTTTGGAGTGGACAGATAGGGGGTAGATGAAGTTTGATGCAGAGAAGTGTGCAGGCATGCATGTTGGTAGAGAGAACATGGAAAGACAAAATAAAATATGGGATACGATACTAAAGTGGGTACATGAACAGAGAGACCTGTTGTATGTGGGCACAGATCAGGGTGATTGAAGGTAGCAGGAAAGCTGGAGACAGCATTTAATAAAACATATAGTATCCTCGGCTTTATTAATAGGGAAATACAGTACAAAAGAGGTTATGCTAAACTTATATAAGACACTTGTTAGACCTCAGCTGGAGTATTGTGTACAGTTCTCGATATCACACTATGGAAACACTGTAAATAAACTGTAGAATGCAGAAGAGACTTACAAAATTGGTCCTAGGAATAAGGAACTTCAGTTATAAGGTCAAGTTGGGAATGTTTTCCTTGGAGGGAAGGCAATTAAACTGAGATTTCATAGAAGATTCCAAAATCACGACAGGTTTGGTAAAGGGAGGAACTGTTCTCACTTGTGGAAGTATACAGAACGAGAGGCATGGTCGTTCAGTGGTTACTACTGCTGCCTCGCAGCACCAGGGACCTGGGTTTGATTCTCCCTGTGTCTGCGTGGGTTTCCTCAGGTGTTCCGGTTTCCTCCCACAGTCCAAAGATGTGTATGTTAGGTGAATCGATCATGGGGAAAATGCAGAGTTATAGAGGTAGTGTAGGGGGTGGGATGCTCTTTGGAGGGTCAGTGTGGACTTGATGGGCCAAATGGTCCGCTTCCACACTGTGAATCTGTGAAATTTAGCAGGCTATTGCCCAAGGGAAGCTGTTTTACAGCAAATGAAATGCAACAAATCTCCAATCAACCTACATCCAGTTGAGAACGGCAGTGGACATCAGGCAAAACTAATAGGATACAGTTCCACAACATCACATGTTCAACAACTGCAGAAGTGTAAAAGGGATAAGTCTGAAATGTTTGCAAGCATCTTGAGTCAATATATCAAGCAGATAGTTCCATTTGGTCTCCTCGCAACATTCCTAAATCACAGATTCCAGTGACCAGCTAATTAGGTACACTGCATCTTACATTGAAGAGGAGGTAAACCCAGTGAAGGGCATGGGCCTCGAGGGCATCCAAACTGCAGTGGTAACTGCCTGCTAAGTAGAACTAGTCACTGCCACAACAAAATGAAAATTGATCTGAGAGGTCTCATCTATAAAGAACAAGATCACCGAGCAAATAACCACCATAACCACCAAAACTCCCCCATCCTCCCTATCATTTATTAAGTGATAGAACGGCACTGTGACACCTACTCACCAGTAACCAGCTGGCTAACACTTAATTTGGATTCTTCCTTAACTATTTAGCTTCTTGTTAAGCCTTTATCCAGGATAAAGGTGGTGGGGACTCTTGTGGTACAGTAGTAGTGTCCCTACCTCTTAACCAGGAAGCCTGGGTTCATGTCCCACCCACTCCAGAGATGTCTAATAACATCCCTGAACAAGTTGATGAGAGGGTATCTATAAGCACTGGTGACAAAGGAGAGATGATTACCCTTGACTTCAAGGTAGGAGTTGATGGAGAATGACTCCAAGGAGTCCAATCAATGCCAAGGCCAATGGAGCTCAATGAAAAAACCAGCTGGTCAAAATTAATAGAAACCAACTACTACAGACAGTTGATGACAACATTAATAATCTGCATGTATACTTCAAACTTGGAAAACGTCCTGAGTAGCAGTACCAAACAAAATTTGGCGGTTATCATACAGTGTTGCTACCACAGTGGAAGAGACTAATACTGCAATGAATAACTCAACTCCGATCCCTGCCTAAATTCTGAAGAATCAACACAATAATAAAATACTGAACATTTTCCTGGATTTTTGAAGGTGCAACAATACTGAAGTGGCTTAACAGCATAAAAACATTTTAAAAAAGGAACAGGAGTAGGCCATTTAGTCCATCAAGTTGACTCAACCATTCAACATGATCATGACTGATCGTCTATCTCAGTGCCATACTTCTGTTCTCTTTTAAACCTCTCAACACCTTTAGGCTCTATAAATGTATTTTTTTCTTAAATATGTTCATTGACTTGGCCTCCATAGCCTTCTACGGGAGAGAATTACACAGGTTCACTACCTTCCAAATGAAAGAATTTCTCCTCATCTCATTCTGAAAGGTCTTTGCATATTCTGAGAATCCCTTGTTCTGGAGCCCATAACCAGGGAAGCTATCATCCCTGCATTCAGTTTGTCCAATTATTAGAGTGTTACAAGTTTCAATGAGATCCCTACTCATTCTCTTAAACTCCAGTGATTACCATAGGATTATAAGACATAGAAGCCACTCAGTCTATTGAGTCTACTCTGCCATTCAATCATGGATGATATATTTCTCAACTCCATTCTCCTGCCTTCTCCCTGTAACCTTTGATCCCCTTAATAGTCAAGAATCAGTCGGTCAGTCAGTTTATCTCTGTTTTAAACACATTCAATGTCTTGGCCTCTACAGCCTTCTGCGGCAATTAGTTCCACAAATTTACCACCCTCTGGCTGAAGTAATTCCTCCTCATTTCAGTTCTAAAGGTCTTCCCTTCACTCCAAGGCTGCACCCTCAGGTCCTATTTTTCTACTAGTGGAAACATCTTCTCCACATCCACTCTATCCAGACCTCTCAGTATTCTCTAAGTTTCAATGAGAAAGCCTCTTATCTTTCATCAAGTACAGACCCAGAGTCCTCAACCACTCCTCATATGATAAGCCCTTCATCCCTGGGATCATTCTTGTAAAGCTCCTCTCAACCCCCTCCAAGGCCAGCATATCCTTCCTTAGATACAGAACATAAAATTGCTCAGATTATTACAAATGCAGTCTGACCAGAATCTTTTGTAGAGCCTCAGCAGTACATCCCTGCTGTTGTATTCTAGTCTGCTCAAAATGAATGCTAACATTGTATTTGCCTTCCTAACTGCCAAATGAACCTGCACATTAATCTTAAGAGAATCCAGAACTTGGACTCCTAAGTCCCTTTGTGCTTCAGATTTCTAAAGCCTTTCCCCATTTAGAAAATAGTTGATGTCTCTATTCTTCCTAGCAAAGAGCATAACCACATACTTTTCCACAATATATTCCATCTGCTGCTACTTTGCCCACTCTCCCAGCCTGTCAACCTAATCTCTTCTTATATGACAAAGCTGCCATCCCAGGAATCAGCCTGGTGAACCTTTGATCCACTCCCCTGACAGAAAGAATACCTTTTCTTAGTTAAGGAGACCAAAACTGCACAGTTATTGAGGTGTGGTCTCAGCAAGGCCCCATACAGTTGCAGTTCCTTACTTCTGTATTCAAAGCCTCTTGCTATGAAGGTCAACTAACCCTTTGCCTTCCTAACTGCTTGCTACACCTACACGCTCACTTTCAGTGAATGGTGTATAAGACACCCTGATACCTTTGTAAATCGACATTTCTCAATCTATCACAATTTAAATAATATTGTGCAATTTTGCTTTTCCTACTAAAGTGGACATTGTAACAATTATTCACATTCTACTGCATCTAGCAGACACTTGTCCAATCACTCTCAATTTGCCTAAAT